AGATCACAGAGAACATTCAAGGTACACCTTCAACCACAGAGAACACTCCTAGGTATACCTTGGGTCACAGGGTATACTCTGAGGTACACCTTCAACCACAGAGAACACCCTGAGGTATACCCTTGACCACAGAGAATACTCTGAAGAACACCTTTGATCACAAAGAACACCTTGAGGTATACCCTTGAACACAGAGAACACCCTGAGGTACACCCTGGATCACAGAGAACACCCTGAGGTACACCCTCAACCACAGAGAACACCCTGAGGTACACCTTGGATAACAGAGAACGCCCTGTGGTACACCCTAGATCACAGAGAACACTCAAGGTACACCTTCAACCACAGAGAACACTCTGAGATATACCTTGGGTCACAGGGTATACTCTGAGGTACACCCTCAACCACAGAGAACACCCTGAGGTATACCCTTGACCACAGAGAACACTCTGAGGAACACCCTTGATCACAAAGAACACCCCGAGGTATACCCTTGAACTCAGAGAACACCCTGAGGTACACCCTGGATCACAGAGAACACCATGAGGTACACCTTCAACCACAGAGAACACTCTGAGGTACACCCTCAACCATAGAGAACACTCTTGAGGTACACCTTAGATCACAGGGAACACTCTGAGGTACACCCTGGATCACAGAGAACACCCTGAGGTACCACAGAACCACCCTCGACCACAGAACCAGCCAGACATGGTCTTGCAGGAGGCAGGGCATGCTCCAGACCAGGGACAAATATACGCTGCTGACTCAACCTTAGCCAGAAAACACAGGTGCAGAAACCAAGTATGAAGTTGGATAGAGGGTCTAACCCCATTACACCTAAAGAGCCTCTCAAAAGTTTCCTTTCCCCGCTGTTCTCAGGGTACCTGGGGGCAGACTTAACTGCCAGGAGGCATGGTAACAGTTCCTCTAAACTGGAAGCCAAGAACACTGTTTGGCTTTTCCCTCCTCCTCAGGCCACAGTGGGAGCAGGAAGAAAAAGGGGTCTTTGTATTAGCAGAATAGCGTGTGATCAAGCCTGTGTTTGAATCCCAGTTCTGGGATTTCACCTCTATGCTTCTGTTTCCTCATCTGTAAAAATCAAGAGGAGCACCTGAGCAGTACCTGGCACACTGAAGACACTCCAGAAATGTTAGCCCTTAGGATTATTGTGATTATTTGCTACTTTAATACTGGGACTTGGAGTGGCCAGTGGGCAATGAGAACTGGGAGGGGTAGGGGTTCAAGCCCAGGGACCCCCCGGGACACCTCCTTGTACTCCAGTATCTAGTAAAGGTTAACAGACAATCACTGTATCCTATACAGAAAGGACCCCTCAGGGCCCAGACCCTTTGGGAATGGAGATCAGCAATGCCCCAACGGGGAAAGACCTCAGCCACCTACGACCTGGCTGCACGTGAGGGGTCTGAGGACCAGGCATAAAGTGTCTCTCATACTCTGGATCCACCAACCAGCTCCTGACCAGCATGTAGGACTTTAGTCCTGAGCCTTTCTCTGCAGCCACAGGTCCATTCTCATCCAGGACCTGGTGTCCATGAGGGAGGTCACCTGCTGGGCCTGCCACCCCACCATGACTTCTCCCCCAGCCCACTCTGCCTGCACCCCCTGTGACGCCCCCGCTCCCTGAGTCGAGACAGGGTGGCTGGCGTGGCCCCCTAACTCCTGGGTAGGCCCTGTGAGTGCTTCACGAGCGGCCCTGCTCCTCCCCAGTTCCCCATCACTCGTCCCACGGTGGCCGCACTCATTTCCCCACCACTCTGGAGTCTGTCACATTCTCTTGCGGGCCTCTCCGCGTGCTGTGCCCCCTCTACCTGGATCCCCCAACCCTGCCTCCAGCTCTCTCTGCTCTATCCTGGAAGAGTCGGCCCTGTGTGACTGAGGGGCCCCTTCCCTAGTTCCCACCACACCCAAGGGTCACCTTCATCATGACTCTGGTTCTACCACAGAGAATCCTCAGCTTTTCCTCTCTGCATCTTGAAGGACACACCAATCTGTGTGACCCACCCCCCCAGCACCTGCCAAATGCCTGGCACAAACACACCCCTGAAGGGAGGGCATGGGTCTCACGCTTGGGTAGCCAGGGCCTAGGGAGGCTGACCACAGAAGTGCTCAACATTAACCCCCAAACTCAAATACACTGAGGACTGACAGAGGCTTCCTTTGTTAAAAGACAGCAAACTGTTAGATTTCAAAAATAACTTAAGACAAAATTTCTTTTTTATTCTTGAGCAAGAAGCCAGACATTGCCAAATCTATTTAGAGAGTTCACCAAAAGGCTGCTACCCCTGTACTGGGGGTCCCGGGCCACCGTGAGACTTCATTCAGGGGGCCAGGCAAACTGGGGGTCCTTGATTCTGGGGGTGGCTGGCCAAGGTCAGGGCTCTGGCTTTTCTGAGGGAGAGGAAAGGTCCAGGGAGAAGGCTGGCCTCTCAGGGCCTGGCCTCCAGGCCAGCTTGTCCCCAGTCCCTGAGATTTGCCCTCAGCCTGTCAGCCCCCCGCCCCATCCACACCGCCTGCTTGTAGGGACTCGTTTAATTAATGCCAGAGCTGGGCCAACCACTGGGGCCGTGACACTTGTTTGCAGGTCATCTCTTCCTAACAGGTTCTCCCTGGGAGGGGATTTGTCACTAATTGAAGCAGAGATCAGTTAATGAGGCCGCGGGCCCAGGGTTCCAGAGAACAAGGGAAAGGAAAATAAAATAAAGCCTCTTTCTTTGGAGGTTTTGTGATTTACACACACAAAAGAAAAGCAAGCAAGCTGCAGATTTTCCAAGTCAGAAACTCCGCTCCATCTGCCAGAGTTAGACCCTCACTGTGTGAAGACGTCAGGCAGAGGGACGCCGCCACCGCTGAGCCCGAGGATCGAGGCGGAGAGGGGCCTCCTGAGGCCGGCAATCTATCAGCAACCTAATTAACAAGTATTTATGGAGCAGTGCTTGCGCCCCCTCTGTGGGGGAGAAGACACAGGGCCTGTCCCTGGTTAACTTGTAATCCAGTGGAACAATGACAGGACAGGACACAGGGTGTAACTGAGTGTGTGGGAAGGACAGAAGTTTCTAGGACTTGGGGGTGGGGGACAGTTTGGGCTGCTGTGGTCAGGAAAAGTCTCTGAGCGCTCTGCAGCTAGGCAGGGAGTTGGAAGGAGAGTGTCCCCAGCACAGGCACAGTCCCTGAGGGCTGTGACAGCCCAGCGTGAGGCCCCCAGTCCTTGAGGGTAAGACCCTGGCTCTGAGGGCCCGGAGGGTCCCCAGTAACTGCGGCTTGCGCATCAGAGCCCCCACCCCACAGCCTGGGCTAGCTCTGATCCTGGGAAGTGGTAGGGATGGAAGGACCAAGGGCCCCTTGCGTGGGACGGTGAGGAATGGGGGTGCAGAGAGCCTGGAGCGCCATGCCTGCAGGAGGAGGACGCCCCAGCAGGACGGTGGTCCCCTTCACTCAAGCCCCTCCCAGCCAGGGCTGCTCAGTGTTATCCGAGTCGGGGCTCCCTCCTCTCAGCTCTGCCCCACCTCACCCTTCATCTCCAAGAAGGAAATGGGATTTTCAAGCCGTTGAACCAGGTAGGGCCATCAGCTCCTCTTGTCAGGAAGAGCAAGGAGGAGGCAACAGAGCCCCTTTCCCTCCCTCACAAGAGCCCTGGCCTCTGCCAGTAGCCCCCCAGAATCAGGGACTGCCAATTTGTATGACCCCAAATGAAGTCTCTGCTGGGTTGAGGACCACCAGGGTGGGGTCCGCAGTCTCTTGGCAAGTCATCTGAGTAGACTTGGCAACGTCCGGCTTCTTGCTTGGGGTAAGACAAGGATTCAAGGAGGGAGCTCGACCTTGGGCACGAAATGGGGGTCACTCCCCAACAGGGCATTTGGAGAGGATGTGGTCTACGTGGGAGCGGAGCAAATGAAGCCATCTCAAAACAATCCCAAATCCCTACCTTCCCAGAACAGTGAAATCAATGATGGTGTGTGGTACAGTGGTTTAGAACATAGTTGTGAACAATTATTATACTTAATGACACGAGAAAGATGAGGAAAGTGGGACTTACAAAAAGATTATTGTATGTGAATTCTTTCATTATATGTGAATTTCTAAATTTGAATTTTCTAAGTGTTTTCTTACCAACTGCGTGTATTTATTGTGTGATGAATAAAATAACGAAGTTGTGAAGTGACTCTTACCCTCTGGAGTCAGCTATAGGAGACCACCCAGCCAGGATCTAGACAGTACAGACGGAGGTGCAAGGAGGGTTCAAGAGTGGGACGAGTGTACCCAAGGTCCTGGGAACTTGAGCTTCCACTCTGGTTCTGGCCCAGGCCCCTCGCTGCGTCACCTGCACTCAGCCCTCACCTGGGATCCAGCCTTATGCTCTATGTACATAGGCAGTTTACAAACCTAGCCTACTTCTATTCTGCTCTATTCTCAAAGTCCTGTGGGATTCAAACGAACCTATCGCCCCCATCCTGAGGAGCTTATCGGCCTCCGGGAGGAAGTGGACATGTGACCACTTGACCAAGGCCTCCGAGGGGGGACAACAGTGCCCTGGGAGCTCAGGCAGAGAGCAAAGGGGAGCCAGCATGTGGCCCAGCTTTACCACTGTTCCTGAGCCCCTTGCTTCCTGCATCAGCCCCATTACCGAGAGTGAAGAGCGGCCCCTCCGGGGAGGGTGCTAGGTAAACACAGACCCCTCTAGCAACAGACCCCCTGCCCTCAGCTGGAGTATGCAGCCCTTTGTGTCACTCATGGGCACCACCTCACCTCCCCACCTGCTCTCCAAAATCTGCAGCACTGTCTCTATTCAAGTTCATGCCTATTAAAGCATCACCAGAATCTTCTCTGCCTAGAAAGCCTGCCCTGGCGGCCCACCCACACGACCCTCTGTCTCCCACACCCTCACCTGGCCCTGACCTCAGACAGGTCTGGCCAGAGCTGCTGAGGAGGGGGGCAGCCGCAGAGCAGCAGGACAGAAAAGTAGGGACAGAGTTACTCACGGCGATGGAGACGGCACTGATGACAGCTCCCAGGTAGCCCTGGATGAACTTGGACGCAGGAGAAGGCTGGAAGGCAGAGAGACAGAGTTCCAGGCCCACTGGGTGCCCAAAGCTGCCATACCCCGCCCTTGCCAACAGCCCCAGCCTGCAAGAGACGTTCCCGCCCACCACCAGGTGAGAAGGCAAAGGTCCCTCTGGAAGCCAAAGGGATCCGGGCCTCCCTCGGCACAGCTCCAGACATGGAAACACAGGGCAGCAATGTCCCAGGAGAAGCCAGTGGGCCTGCTGCACTTTCGCCCTGTTCTCTAGAGCTCACTGGCAGACCCTGCTGGCTGGAGGTAGACAACGGCAAGGGCCAAAATGGGTCATTCATGGCTAGGGCAAGCAGGGCCAGGGGAGGAGGACCGAATGCTGGACGTGGGCTGCTGGTACCTGGAGGACCACCCAGGTGGAAATGGCTGGCTACACCTGGCTGGCTCTCCCGCGCCTTGTCAACCCGGGCGGCAACCGGGCTGCCAGGCCAACAGATGACAGTTGCTCAGCGTTTCTACAGAGACATGCAACCCAGGTTGCAACGGATCGCATTGAGAAGGAGCTGAGGAACTTGCCTTTAACTGTGCTCTGACGGCAGTTTTGGAGATGTTTGGTTTAAGGCAAACAGGAGCCATCCAAGCAGGGGTATACACATGTGGGTCGCATGCGCGAGATGCAGATGGAAGCGGGGCGTCCTCAGAGTTTCAGGCCAGGAAGTTTCTACCACCCAGGCCAGCCCCTAGCTCTCCCCTCTCTGCCCCAGGGTTAGAGAATGCCCACACCTTCCCCTCCCCAAGCGACAGCCCCCCAAGGGGACCTGGACTCCTCCTCCCCTCTCCCTGCCTTGGGACAGAAGTGCAGGACAGACAGCCTTGCCAGTGAAGCAGGGACCCAGCTGCTTCCTAGAAGAGGGAAGGGCGACAGGGCCTCCACCGAGAGCTTGTCCCAGGAGCGCAGGGGACTTGGGGGGAGGGGGGCCGGTCCCCTCAGACCCCTCACCCCTCAAGAGCAGCCCTTCAGCTCTACAGCCGATCGTGTGGGGGCACCAAGACAGCTCCCAGGCAAGCTTGGAGGAAGCTTTAGGGGAATTTGGTCCCCATGTGGCTGATGCCATCCTAATCCAAGATCTGGGGATAAGAGCTGCCCAAGGAGGATGCTGAAGCCAACAGAGCTCCTCCCTCTCACCGCCTCCACTCTATTTCCATTTTATGGGCCTTCTTCACTTCATGTGAACAGCCCCTCCCCAGCGGGGCCGTTCTAGAAGGGTTGGCAGTTTAAATCAGGTGCTTAAAGGAGCACAAGACTTAACTCAGAGGAAGCAGCCCCTGATGGTGGCATGCCACACTGAAGGGAGGATGAGGGTGCCCCCCCGGCCTGCTCCCCACCACTGCACGGTGGTCTGTGGTGCTCACCTTGGTAGCGTTGCGGTTTGCATAGTTGACACAAGCGTTATGGCTCTGGTTCAGCCACTGAAAGGCAACAGGGCCGGGGGTGGGGGCGGGAGGGAAGAGACATCAGGGAAGGGGAGGATGCCGGGCCTGGACCCCAGGTGGCCACAGCCTCCAGAAGGACACGGAATGCTGTCTCCAGCTCACAGGTGGTTCTGTCCATCCCACGGGTCAGCAGGACCAACTGTTCCCGTTTGCCCGGCATTGCGCCAGTGGCAGCATGGAAACCCCAGGAAACCCCTCCGTTGCTGGCAAACCAGGACAGGGGTCCTGCCCCTGCGGGCAGTTCTTCCCAACCTGGGGACCGTCCCCTCTCCCAGAATCATGGCGCTCACGGCCCCAAACGGGCCTCACTGCCTTTGACATCATCCTTGTTATATTACTTATTGGACAGAAAGTGGACATTTAGCCCCTGGAATTACGAACAGCCCTGAACCTCTTTCAAAAATATCCCAGCCCAGTGTCTTGCACCAAACACTCACTACCTTGGGGTTGGTGATGGATTTACCTTACTCGCAGATCTAAGTGAGGCTTATATCGAAACAAGGCTGAGGGCCTCGAGGTCACAGGCCTTGGGACAAACAGCCAAGGAGCAGGAGGGAGCCACAAACAAGCCCTCATCCCCTTGTGCAAAAATGAGAGTCACATAAAATGGCCTAGGTGTGGGCTGCTGGGACCTGCTCAGCAGAATCCGAAGTCCCGGGCTTCCCCCAGTGGCTACAGGGCCAGGGAGGGGCGGGAAGTGGGGTGACTTTCCCTGAGCAGCCTGGAGGGGAGACACTGAGACAGGGAGTTCTAACGAGCACGTGTTGGGTCCTTCCTTCAGGAGCCCTCTGTTGCCAGGGACTGTTACCTGCCAGAAGACAGTGGATGCCAGTGTCTGGTTGGGCAAGAGAAGACCAACTACCTGCGAGAGAGAAAGAGAGGAAAGCCTGGATAAAGCAAAAGAAACATCCTACACGTTTGCCAAGAAAAATGACACAGCCACGAACCAAAGTAAACTGGATCTGTACAAACTGAGGTGGATGATGTATACATATAAACTGTTGGCCACAGTGGGATGGTGCCCGATGCACGTGAACCAGGCTGCGGAATTCTATCACAGCACAATCCCACTTTTGTAAAGAAATCACATCGTATGTATAACCATATACACAAACATAGGCATATACCTCTCTCCAAGCAAAAGCCTATAGCCCAGCATGTAGATGTCTCTGGAGGTCAGGTGACACAGTACTTTCTCAGTCTTCTCGAATATTCCTATATTCTTTTAAACATTGGACATGTATCATTTCCATAACTGGGGGTAGGGGACAATACAAAGAAGCAAACCAAAGGAACATCTTTACTTCCACTCAGCTAACCCGGCTCTTTCATGTCCTGGCCACCCCATAGGATTTTTGTGAGGATTAAAATATGATGATGGGGGGGCGCCTGGGTGGCTCAGTCGTTAAGCAGCAGCCTTCAGCTCAGGTCATGATCCCAGGGTCCTGGGATCGAGCCCCGCATCGGGCTCCCTGCTCCGCGGGATGCCTGCTTCTCCCTCTCCCACTCCCCCTGCTTGTGTTCCTGCTCTTGCTATCTCTCTCTCTGTCAAATAAATAAAATCTTTAAAAAAAAATATGATGATAGGGATGCCTGGGTGGCTCAGTCAGTGAAGCAGCTGCCTTCGGCTCAGGTCATGACCCCAGGGTCCTGGGATGGAGGCTCCCTGATCAGTGGGGAGTCTGTTTCTCCCTCTGCCCCTCCCCCAGCTCATGCTCTCTCTCTCAAATAAATAAATAAAACCTTTAAAAAAAGTAAAATAAAATATGATGATAAAAATTATTTTTTAAAAAGATTTTATTTATTTTTCAGAGAGAGTGAGAGAGCGAGCACAGGCAGTGGGGAGCGGCAGAGGCAGAGGGAGAAGCAGTCTCCCCACTGAGCAAGGAGCCCGATGTGGGATTCAATCCCAGGACTCTGGGATCATGACCTGGGTGGAAGGCCGACGCTTAACCAGCTGAGACACCCAGGCATCCCAGATAAAAATCATTTTGAGTACCAGTAGTTAGGTGTGAATTCATTATTCCCAAAACCCGAATGTCACCTAAGAGCTAGACTTGCTGACTTTGTTTTATTGGTTTAAGTCAAGATTAACTGTCTCATCTTGACAACTGGCCAAACTTTGGACTTCAGGGATCCATGTGTCTCTCTCAAGTTTACCTTTTGAATGCTGTGTGCAAAATAATGTATACCAAATACCACTGCATATGGGAAAAATGTGCACAACCATCCACATATTGACTTATTTATTATTCCTGTAGATAAAATGGCTCTTTGGCAAGAATTTCTGTAAGGAGTAAGTATAAACATTCAATACTATGCAGTAAATCAAATTCTAGACATCCTCAGCAGCATTTGTAAATCATGTTTTAAACATTAAAATGTTTTAAGACAGCAAACACACACACACATTTATATTTATTGGCCCATATCAGTTTGAATAAAATTATGTAATGTAAAGCCATTCCATAGCTCCAATGAGGAATTATCTTATGAGATTTTTCTCCCCAAAATGAGATCCCAGCTTGATTTTTCTCTGCAGCAACAGCTTAGGGCACTGGAGTGAGAATCAGGAGAGCTTAGAGCTCAGCCTCAGCCCCATCCCTGTGGGATCTCCGGCCAACAGTGTCTCCAACAGAATACAGTGCCCTTGGGGCTCTAGCTTTCTTACCAATAGAGTGAAGGGGTTAAGCTTGGAGGTCCTACCTTGGTTTAAAATTCTATTCTTGGGTTCCAAGTAGCAGGTATGAAGTCAACTGAGATTGCCCCATTGCCTGTAAAGGGAATCCCTCCTCACCCAGCCCAGAAGAGAAATATCGCTGGGAACCCAGGGTCTCCTCCTAGTCAGGCTCCAGCCACCAGGAGCCAGACCACAGAGAGGAAGCTGAGTCTAGAGAGGCCTGAAATTGGGAGCCGACAATGCGATCCAGCAAGTGTGTGTGTGCGCGCGTGCATGCACGTGTGGATGTCTGTGTACTCTTGTGCATGTCTGACCGCCTCCCAAAGCCTGGAGAGATAAAAGCTGTTCTTCACTGTTGGGAACTCAGCAATTCATTCCCCTAATCTGTTGGTTTATAGAGCATGGGTATATTATGGACCACATTGTCCTCTCCTCCTCAATCCCCCTTACACCCCCTGCACTGAGCTTGGGCCATCAGAAGTGTCATAAGATACAGCCCCTTGGGACTCGCTGTATTTACCAGACAACCATTGTCCAGGACACTCATTGCTCCTTCCATCGCAGAGTCCCGTTTATGAATCCTCCTGGAGGAAATTTTTCTACTCTTGGGCTCAGAAATTTATACTTCTGAGCATCCGGTTTGCATCTGTCTTGCAGACATTGAGCATTTAACCATGTCTCTCTTTGCACTGACTGTCAAGGAGGTCAGGCCAGATCTCCACGGCTCACATCTGTCCAGTGCACAGACCCTCACTGAATGCATTTTGTGCCCAAACTTTACTCCTAGCTTCTTCCCCTTCCTAAACTTCTCTCTCATTTTTGTCTTCACTTGTATTTTCTGGTGTCAGGCATTTTTTTTTAATGTGACATCAAGTCTCTTTCAGAATAAACCACAGCCTAAACTAAACTGAAATAGTACCTAGGCTGTGTAACACACACACACACACACACACACACACACACACACACACACACACACCTTGTAACCTGTGAGCTTTTCTCCTTGTTGCCCAAAGCTGGCCAGCTTCCTGTCCCAACCTCCTGCTCTAACCATGCTGGGCACCTCTGACTCCTTATGTGTTCATAAAGAGATTGATTGATTGATTTTGCTAACCATTTCCCCTGTGTCACTTACCATGATCCTTATCAGAACTCGGGCTCAGACAAAATAAAGATTACTTTCTATATTTTACAAATGGGGAAACTGAGGCTTAGAGAAATTCCGTGATTTGCCCGAGGCTTCCCAGCAAGCTAGAGAGTCAGAAAGGTCTCCTGATTCCTGGTTTGAGGGCCCCAACTCTCTGATTTGAGGGGTTACTTTTCCAGCTCATTCACCTGAGCACAAAGGAAGAATCACACTCCATCATCCCACGCCCATTTCCAAGCATCTTCTATGCACCAGGTTCCATGGTGCTCTCAACGGAGAATACGGGAAGAGAGGAATATATGGCATCTAACCACAATAAACACAAAGACCAAACAGGAAAATGTATAAGAAGATCCATAATATCTGGACATGGAAATGACCAGACGGTTTAATCAGGTACTTGGGTATGTCAAGTTGATAAATGCGAACACCCAAACCAGCGCTCAGGAAGGAGAGATCAGTGTGCTCTGACTGCGGAAGGAGGTGGTGGGATGGAGCTGAGATGTGCATGCATGTGCATGCATGTGCGTGGAGCGGGGCAAGAGTGCACGCTCATGGGAGCAGGAACAGTCAGGAGACTGGTCTCATTAAAGGAGGAGGTTTGAAGAATCAGCAGACCTGCGGAGGGTGAGGTTAGAGGCAGCGGAAAGCCATGCTGCATTCTGCCCCCAAACGGGGCCCAAGGGAACCATCTGAGGCTGAGGCAAGGGGAACAGGGATCCCACTTTGCAGGTCCTACAGTCAGGCTGCTGGGGCCAGGAGCACATGGGTGCCAGCCCCATTCCCTATTAGGCAACACGCAGCACCATCTGCACAGTCCCAGGAGCAAGAGCAGATATTTTATAACTTCCTTTTTTCTTTTTAAGTCGAAATTAAAAATAAATGTTCCTTCAGTTCTCAGATGTATATCTCTGGTGCAACCTGCCCACATTCCCCCACGCTGCCCTTTCCAGAACATGGCAGGGGAAAGGAGGAAAGAGATGGATAGAGAGAGGGAGCCAGTCCACCCGGCTTCAATGCCAGTGGATTGCACCTCTTCCAAGAGGGAAACGCTTCAGGCGTGGCCGCGCAGACGGGTGGAGAGAGCCCAGAAAGCGGCTGGTACCAGGGAGAGTGGAAGGAGAGCCAACAGCCAGAATTTCCAGCCCAGCCTCCACCCTCTCTTGCTGCAGGACCTTGGCCAAATCGCACATCCTATCTTTGCTCCCATTTATAGTTCATAACACGGCTGGGGTCCCCTCCGCAGCTCCCACCCCCTGGCAGCTGTCCTCTTCACACATCTGTCCACTTTTGCTGCCCACTTCCCCCCAAGTCGCCGGCCATGGGTCCTGGTGATTAACCAGAGCCTTCTGGTCACAGGAAGAGCTGCACCCAAATCCTGGTTCTAGTATTTACCAACCATGTGACCGCGCACAAATCGCTTGAGCTCTTTGTGCCTCCATTTTTTTTTTCCTTGTCTGTTAAATGGTGACAACCCTGGGACCTCTCTGGATGGCCATGGGGGAGGCAGGGCATGGAAAGAATCTGGTCCAGTATCTGGCTGGCAGCAAGTACTCATTAGGTGTAAAGTGTCAGTATCGTTCCTCTCCTCCTATCTCACTCTCTTCTAGTTTTTGCTGGTCTCTCCTTTCTCTGAACTCTACAATCTGCATTACATAATTGAGCATCATCTTGCCCCCATCTTGTCTTTGAGCACAGGCCTCATGCCTCAAAGGATAGCGAGCTCCTGAAGGTAGAATCAGGGCTTATCTCTCTGATGTCATCCAGAGTACTCAGCACAAAGCTGCGCCCACACTGTGTTGTATGTCCTAGAAGAATATTGCTAATTCATTATTAAGAACATTAAATCTTGGGGGCGCCTGGATGGCTCAGTCGGTTAAGAATCCGACTCTTGATTTCAGCTCAGGTCATGACCTCAGGGTCCTGGGATGGAGCCCCTCATCGGGCTCCATGCTCAATGTGGAGTCAGCTTCTCCCTCTCCCTCTTCCTGTCCTGCCCCCACTTCTAAAATAAACAAATAAAATCTTAAAAAGA